TTGAAACTAGACTGAAAGGTAACAGAAGGGAAACATGGCAAACCTCTGCTCCGGATGTGCTCTGTCCGACTGAAAGCTTCTACATCCGGGTCAAACTGTAGAGTTGTAGTTTTCAGTTATTCCCTCACTGAAAACAGTACCCAGTCTTGTTTACTGTGTGGATGCTGAATCAGCATCCACAGTATAATTTCCTGGTCTTTATTATTATTCTTCCGTACGTTTTTTGGCCCTTAACTACTTCAGCATACTTTCAGCTAAAAGAACCATTCAAATATCAAAATGTTCAATTTTGGAATGGGAAAATCTTCAAATCTTAACTTTAGCATACTTTGTTACAAAAGCCATTCTGGTATCAAAATGTTCAGCTCTTCCAAGGTCAACAATTGTGTGTATTCAGCTTTTTTGTAACTTTTAAAAATATTTGGGTTTGTTCAGAAATGTTTTCCCCATTCAAAGGAATGGTGAATTCTTCAAAACCTCCTCCTCTTTCAGCCTTAACCAGTTCAGCATACTTTCACCTAGAAAAACCATTCAACCTTTAAACAATTCAGCAAATCTTCAGCTATTTAGGGTTGCTTTTTGATATCTTTTACAGATTTTGAATTCTCGCAGTTTATGTGTTATGGTTATTTTGTAAATTTATTTACATTTATTTATTACAATTACATGGCACATTCCACAGAGTGCCGCCTCACTCTGCCTTAGAAAAAACGATTCAGAAAACCCGCTCGAAGGAAAAGTTAGGGCATTTGTAAATTGCCACAGATCCTTCATTTTCTGGAATATCTTGACATAAAGGTGATGAACATGTTCGTTGAAACCTCCTGCCGCTCATAGTGAAGAGATTTTTCTGATAGGACTTATAGTTTTTCTTCAATTGTCAATTGTTCGAAGCCCATGTTTCACTGAAATCTGCTGTACTGCCCTCAAACTGCTGAAACACTTAACGATGCACCTGCTACTTTTACACACACAAACAGCAACAGAATAACATGCACACACAAAATAAAAGCCAAACATAAACTGTACAATCAAAGCAATACAGTGACATGCAGTAGCACACACAGTGGCGCAGTGACACACACACACACACACACACACGCAAACACACAAAACAAAAACACTAATACTGTAACTAGTGAAGGTGGAGTAATTTAACCTCTTTGTACTTTATTAGGCAGTTTATAACAAAGCGTTTTATAAGCTGATCATGTGTTTTGTTTGTATTCAAAGTGCAAGTACTTAACAACTGTACCTCAGTACTTGAGCGAAAATGCTCATTTACATTCCTCTACTGCTGTAAACAACGCAGTGCCAATGCATCAGTGGCAGACTGGGGGTCAGATGAGGAATAAATACAACAATAAAATGAAGACACGTAACCTGTGACTTCAGACTGTCCAGTTGTGGAGATTTTTACTGCATGTTGTTGTTCAGAGCAGAGATGAGTGACCTTGTGCTTGTTCCAGTTTGGTACAGTAGGCTGTGGGAAGTAAGAGTAGTTAAACACATTCTGTACTTTTACTCGTGCAGAGATTCTTTACTGGAGTCGGAATAAATACATTCATCTAATGTAGACTTAAGATTGTATTTTTAAATCAAGTGGCCAATAGAAACAGTGATGTGCCATGTTTGGAAATAAGTCATCATTCTAGCTTACCATTATTACACTCCTTAGTCTCCCAGATAAAGCTGGATAAACAATTGGGCAAAGCAGGCACATGCTCACAGGCCCCAGATCCACCCCCAGAGCCTCAGAGTCACTACAGCTGGTGTTCAGTTGGCAGTGGAAATTTGGTTATATGTTAGGGAATTTGCACTACAGCACCAGCACAGTACTGACTAGAATCAAAATCAGAATCAGCTTTATTGGCCAGGTGTGTCGGACACATGAGGAATTTGACTCTGGTACATCGGCTCTCAATGTGTATGTACATATCCCCATCCAAGGGGCAAGTAAACAGTAAACCAGCATAAGGCTGTGTAATATAACAAAATAAGCAGTATTAACAAGCAACAACCAGGGCAAAATAAACAGTATAAACAGGCAGTAAACAATGCAGACAAACAAAGGAATGCTCATTATGAAATGAGATAAGTAGGAATAAAGATAGAGTACTTAAAACTAGAGACCTGTACGAGTCTGTATAATCTGTACAATGTATATTTACAGGTATTGCACTGAGGGTTATTGTCCAGTCGTACTGTTGCTTGGTTAAGTGTTCATCAGAGCGACAGCCTGGGGGAAGAAAGTGTCCCTGTGCCTGGTTGTCTTGGTGTACAGTGATCTGTAACGCCGTCCAGAGGGGAGGAGTTCAAACAGATTGTGTCCATGATGTGAGGGGTCTGCAGTGATCCTCTCCACCCTCCTTTTGACCCGTGAGGTGTACAGGTCCTCCATGGAGGGCAGGCTGGCACCAATGACCTTTTCTGCAGTCCTGACTGTCCGCTGAAGTTTGTACTTGTCCTGTTTGGTTGCTGAGCCAAACCAGACAGTGATGGAGGTGCAGAGAACAGACTCGATGATTCCTCTGTAGAACTAAGGTCTAACATTGTTAGTTCATTTTCTAGGCACAGTTTGTGGGAGTGTTAAAATCAAATTTTAAAACCACCATTGTTTGTGTTTATATTGTGCTCACATGGTGTGTATGGTCAGAAACTGTCTTGATTTGAATTACCACCGACACTAATTGTGTGTTATTCCAAGAGTGAATACTGCTGGTTGCTCTAACAGAAACTTGGAGGTGATAGGGTACACACTGGGGAGCACGGGGTAAATTTTTGGCCCGGGGTGACTAACGGGTTAATCCAGCAATCCTCTAAACATTTTACAGTTACTTGCTCAATAGCTGTTTATTGTTAAACCAGTGATAGGACTTTAGTTTTACTACATGCAAAGCCTGCACCTTGACTAACTGACTAAGTGGTTATGTACTTGGGGTCTTTATGCCAATGCAGGCACCAGCTCACCACAGGGAAATACATCATTTCCTCAAAGGAAGCCATGGAACATAGCCCTATAGTAACTGAACAATTTAATTGAATCACATGTTGAAAAAATGAAGATGGCCTAAAAAGTGCAGGAGCAACAAATGGCAGCAGCAGCAGGACTGAACAAAGCGCTGCCCGTTCAGTGTAGCCGGCTCTATTCACCAGTGGTTATTAGTTGTTGCCAGAAACCATTCATGAGCTTTATGCCCATATTTACACATTTTAGTGGGAGACGTGGACATTTAAAATAGAACGTGTACAATGGATTATCCTACTACTTCACCAATAGAAAGTGGTTCGTGTTATGTATCTGTTATGCATGTTATTGAATCTGCAAAAAAAATCTTAAAATATTTAAGGACCTTAAAATGAATTATATACTAAGGATTTATCCTCGCTGAATCAAAGCTTAACCTTGGCTTGTATGCAGTCAGCGTCACGTTTTCAGGTTGTCAGTATACACTGAAGATGTGAGTCCACCTGCGCCTGGTGCCTCCCTGTGCGCACAGCCAGTCGGAGCGGAGTCTGTGTGCCAGCGGAGCGGATCAGTTCTGGATGATCGTCTTAGTATAATTTATGACTTTTAATTGCATTTTTGATGTTACTGTTAAAACTCTGTAAGCCGGTCGACCATCTGGAGAGCCGCGAACCACGCAGAGCCCCTGACGCTTGTTCATTTTCTGCTTTTATTTGCTCATTTGCAACAGTCAGCTTTTGACATCTTCAAGTTGGAGCAAGTGAGAGCATCTGAAAGCACAAAGGTAGGTCATTCTCAAATACGTTTATAGCTTCAAATGCAGCGGCTACGACCTCCTGGGTTAGCACCTATTCTCATCTGCAGTAAGTTGGCATGCTATTCTTTATCTTTATGTTGTTGCTACAACATTTTAAAACACCGATACTCATGCATTTCAAAAAAAAAGGAAGCAGCACGACAGGTCCACGACAGTAAAATAGCGCCTAACTTGAACTTTTTCAACACTAAACACCAGCTTTTTGTCGAATCTGTTTTCTCAACAAAACTACAAAAAGAGCCAAAATTGTGAGTCAAAACAGGCAAACGATTCAACGCTTACGACCCCCCAAAAGTAACTGAGTACATTTACTCAAGCATTTTCTGCTACTTCATACTTCGACTTCACCACATTTCAGAGGCAAATACTTTTTACTCCTTTACATTTATTTCATAACTTTAGTTACTTTTCAGAATATAACAGACACTATAATCATAACACTTGAATGATTCCTAGTGGGGAATTCATAAGCTACCCACCATAAAATCATTTAGTTAATTCCACCTTCACCAGCTGTAACACTAAATGTGAGGTACACAGTAATGCATCAGTAGGTACAGTCCAATTATATGATATACATGAATGTGAAATGTGACATTATGCATAATAAATACATTTATTTTTGGTACAGTAAGTATATTTTGATACTAGCAGGTTTACGTAAGTAAAAATTGGAATGCAGGATTTTTGTGTATTCTTACACTGTGGTATTGCTACTTTTGCTTAAGTAAATAATTTGAGTACTTCTTCCACCACTGAATGGGTAGAGCAGTTTTGGGAGTTAAGTATTATACAAAGAATCAGTTCAGCTAGTCTCCTTCTCTTTAAAATGAAAAGAACACATATATATTTTATTAATCATCCAAAAAACTGTCCACTGTGCCATACGAGTTACTCTGTGGAGGTGCTGTTTGCCTTCATTTTCCTAAGCAGAGCTCCAGTGTCTAAGACACTTCCACAGCACCTCCATCTCTGCAATGAATGTGCATGCACCTACACAAACACTTTCTACAGGGTGGGCCACAGAGAAGTAGCCCGCTTCCAAAACAATCCACTTGCTCGGGCTACTTTTCCGTGGCCCGCCCATTATATTTTTAAATATAGCATAAATACTAGAACATGTGTCACTTGAATGACAGATGCATATATTTAGATGATTAAATCCTTCCAGTAGAGCTCAGAGACTTGGAGAGTCAATGCCAAGGAGCAGTGAAGCTGTTCTGGTGGCAGTGTGGTGGCCCAGCACCTCACTGAGACACTTTATGTTGGGTTGTCCTTTCATTTGTCACCTCAACATGAAATCTTATTACACCTGGCTGCATGGGTGTCACTCAATGGACTTTATTTTGTCCTTTTGAAAGCATGGAGTCTGGTATAATGTTAATAGATTCTTTCAGTACTATCCACCAAATATAGATATTTTTTATCAAACTGAAAGTAGGCCATGCAGTTGCAGAATGATCCTCCTGCATCTAAAAATGCCTAATTGTATAGGTGTATTTAAAAAAGTAAAGGAGCGATCACCTTTATGGTCAAAAGAAAACCATAGGGGACATCACAATACTTCTGCTTTTACAGAGAGGACTGTCATATTCAGCTGATGGCTCCAGGACACTTGTCAAGAAATAAACATAGGTCATTTTATTATGTTATGTTATTTCTGGTGAGGACAGTACTGAAGCTGATATATGTGCAGTAATACTGTCACATCTGGTTGATGCAAAATGTTGCTTTCTCAAGTTAAATTTGGGTTTCTATTAAAAAAAAACTGAGAGAAGAACAGTAGTACAGTACGAGAAAAGGATGGATGTTCCAGCATGTACTTGCTAAAAGCACATTTTCACTCAAACTAACACCCTGAGACCTGATTGCCTGAAATAGTTCTGAAAAAGATTTGATGTAGGAAAAATGACAACCATAATTTTTTAGCATATTATCTCTGATCCTCTTTAAGACATATGGGTGATTATATGGAAGCATTCAGTATAATTATCTTTACAGTGCTGGCGTGTGACAGGAAGGTAAAAAGCTTTCCATGCAGGTGCTTGTGCTTGCTGCCTTGTTGTTTTCAGACACAGGAGTGTTGTTCATTGGACAGTGACATTTGAACGCCGTTTACTTTACATCTGAATAGTTTGCATCTAGATCAAGTAAAATGTGAGAAAAACACCAGCTGCACCTTATTTACAAAGAGAGATCCAGCACAGTCAGCTGCAGTGGAGCATCCTTCTTAGTGAGACAGACATTAGAATATCTATTCAAGGGTCAAGTCTAATTTTATTTAGCTCTATATCACAAGTTATAAATGTGCCTAAAGGGGCTTTACAACATATGACACCCCCAACAGGAAAAACTTTCCCCAAACCCCTTTCATAGGTAAATTTCAAGAAGATGGACAAACTGTAAAAATATTTGAGGAACGTGATTGGGAGGATGAGCGGCCTCCAGGTCCCACAGCGGACCCAGGCCACACGACCTCCTATCCAGACAGATCAGGAAGAAGGACAAACTACACAAACGCACAAGAGGCAAGACTAAAGACCATTCACACGCTGGAGGAATAAACAAACATACATAAGAGAGAATAAAAAAAGCACAATATGAACAAGAAAGGGAGGGAGATAAAGAAGAGGCTGGGACTCCTGGAGGATGAGCCACTGGATTCAAAGCTCTGAACCTCACTTGAGACAGTTTATTATCCCTCACACAGCTTGCTTTACAGACACAAAGGGGGGTATTTATTACAGCTTTGTAGCTCTTTTTTCTTTTTTTTTGCGCTAAACACTGACAGGATGTGTTTTCACATCTGTTCTCATGCAATATGTATTTTAAGGGATACAAAAATCAGAGAGGAGAGAACAGAAACTTATACAAGTACCTTCAGCACCTGATTTCCCACCGTAGCGTCAGAGGGAACTATGGCTGAAATGTAACGTCAGGAGAAAGCAGGTGTAAAATTTGCAGCCATGCTGTCAGGGTGGCAGCTGATAGTCATTTGCGCTCACTGAAGTGCAGAACACATGAGGAATGGAGACCTCATCGCTGTTAGGAACACACAGGAGGAGGGAGAGGGTGTCTGTAAATTGCATCACTCGCCAGAGGTGAGGGACATTTACAGGCTTTCAGATCAAACCATGCTTCAATTACTGAACAAAATAATGGATGATGTAACTGACAGGATACTACATGATTGTAGTTCCAAAATATGTTTGTGGATTCCTTCAACAATATTAGGGTTCAGTCACTGTAAACTTGCATGTTATTCTACGCCGCCTTGTTGTCCACACATATGCACGTGGCACCTGACCCTAGGCAGATGTGTATTCAAATGAACACAGCTGTGGCTGTGCCCATTTAGGGGAGACCAGGGACTGTTGTAACACCGGATCAGTTTGACCAGTCAGAAAAGAGCTGCAATGATGATATCACTGTCAAAAACTCCCATTTCCTTTATGAGCTGACAGAAGAAGTGGAATGTCTGTGAGTTACACTGTAGATTTTATAAACAAAAACTGAGTTTCAGGTTTCAGGATCATTTTTTATTAAGATTATTTTTTGCCAATTGTTAGCTATGCAATGACTGGGGTGGGGATGGTTGTAACATTTTTAATGAACTGTTACAATATGATCATCCCTTTATCACCTGATCCCAGTGACCAAGAGATGCTGATGCCGCTGATGATGAGAATCTACATTGTGTGCATGAACATCCACACGCACACACTTTGCAGGACTTTACACTGACTTCCATTCATTTCCTGGGAAGCAGTTCTAAGTGTTCCAGTGAAGGCTGCAGTTCTTTCACATCACATGGGTGATGAAAAGGTACAGAGAAGAGGTGCAATGACAAAGAGGGCACAATAACGTGTATTGTTAGTGTATGTTCAATTACTTGGCCAGAGGAGCTTTCTGTCCCTTGTGTAGGTTGAGCTGTAGCTGGACAAATACAGTACATATACAGTACATACAAATACACAGACTGCCATTTAAATCAGTAATGTAAAACCTTTTTGCTTTGATTGTAAAAACAGAAGAACTATGGAGTACAGACATGCATAGCAGAAGGTCCTTGCAATGTCCCTGAAACTTCAGTGCTCCAGGAATACTATTTTTAGTAGTTACAGAGTCTCATCTGAACTTGTAAAAAAAAGTTAGATCCTTCTTTTGCATGTTTTATTGTGTTGTAGAATTAATATTAAAAGTATAAAATTGCCAGTGTTGCTTTTCAGTCTACACTCAATAACCCATAATAACAAAGTGGAAACAATACTTTAGACAAAGTTGCACATTTTTTAAAACTCAAAAACTCAACCACTACTTGCCTAAAACCTAATCCTAATTTAACCTAAAGTGTTTTTGTCCCTTTACAATGTTCACATTACTCAGGACTGACCATTCTTTATTTTTCAATTCAATTCTTGCATAAATTGACATTAACTCACATTATCTGTGATTGTGTAGTTGTCATCCAAGTGAGTTTTTTTTTTGTAGTAGACAAATATGGGTACCAGGTATGAGAGTTTGAGAGCTGACAGCCACGGAGTTAGTAATGCTCAAACAAAAGGTGTTACAACCATCCCCGGTGTCTCCTACAACATCAGTGTCGGTAAATACCCTGCTACATTGAAAAATTGCAGTATTTTCTGCACCTGACAGTAATTTGAACAACTCTTATCACATTATCTAGTAGTACTTCCCAAAACCTGTAAACAGACTTGGATGTGTAAAACAGGTGGAGTTGCCATTTTAACTTCTATAATGTGACTGAGTTCAGGGTGACAGAATGTGTGGATTTGCTTTACTAATAAGAGGAATTTAAATATCTTCTTTTAGATGGATAGTTTAAAGTGGGTGTGTCTTATCAGTGTGGAGCAGAATGGAGTAGGGCTGTATTTGTCAGCATTAACTGGATCGTTTCGTGTATTTTATTAGTTAATTAAGTCATTGTTTATAAAATTTCAAAATAC